GGCAGCACGGGACACAAAGCCTCTGCTCCATAGTCCTAAATAATCAAGTGTTAACAAGTGTTAAGTATTTATGAAGTTCTGTGAGTTCCTCAAGAGACAGCCATGATATCTAATCGCAGAACAATTTTATAATTTAAAAGGGATTTGATTCTCTTCTCTGTCTAGACAGAAAATAAGCTGGAAGAAAGACTAAGACCCTGTATACTTAAACAGAACATTTCATGTGCAACTTAAGTTAAGATATGTTAGTCTCTAGTGTAGAAAGTCAGATTAATACACATTACTTTGCAGGGAAACTAATTAAATTTTCTATCTTCCTCCTTGGCCTCTATCAATTAACTATAATTTAAACTTTACCTGGGCCTTTCCATAGAGGAAAGAAAGCATACAACCAAAGTCCTGAAAAGCAAATACAGTGTTCTTAGGGAAACATGTAAAGTATGAGATAAAAGCTGGGAATCTGGGTAGTTTGGAGTTCAACTAATTTCAAACTCTATTATTCAAGGAGGATAAAACCCAGACAGCACAAAGAACTTAACAAATACACTGACCCACATCATCCACTTAAGGAGATACTAATGAATTTCATATTTCCTAAAATTCGGGAAATCATGCAAAGAAACATAATAAATCACAGGGCAAATAAAACTATCCTACATAAAACTGCTCCCTTGGCTTTTTCTTATAGGAGTTCTGGGTGTTTCTGCAGCCTAACCAAAGGACTAGTTGAAGGAGTGATCAGAAGGAGAAAGGATGCATTTTTGAAAGACAACAGGACATTGCGAACCCTTTACAATTCATAGAAGCTAATGGGGTGACATAGGGATTTAAAAAAAAAAAACCTTGTATTTCACTTAACTATGCTTCTACTAGGCACTTGAAGGGTTACCTGGGGTCACCAGGTATAACTCAGAGGCATGAACTCTTCTACTCTATCTGAGTGCTGCTATTGTCCCTGACTCTTGCCAGATGTTCCCCCTCCCATTGCAGTTGAACTTCTGGAACCCCCAAATATCAGTGCTACAAATATCAGTGGCTCCTCTTTTGTTTTATACTTTGTTGCAGGAATGTCAAAGCTGTGCAGCCCATACCCTAGTGTGCTACAGAAACAACCTTGTCAGATTTTACATACAGCACATCTGCTCTCCAAGGTACTCTAACATCTTCTGCAAAATCAAATAAGGAATTAGTGTTTATTTTCCTTAGTAAACTCTTTCTCTAACCAGTTGCTCAATTAGTTTCTACTACTCGGATTAAATGAAGATTATGTTAAAATGCAGATTATGATTCAGTAGATCTGGAGTAAGGCCAAGATTTTGCATTTTTAACAATCCCCCAGGTAATGCTGATGCTTCTTTTCTTAGACCAATCCTTGAGAACCAAGGTTTAAGGGATTTACAGATATGACACACCCTAGTCTTCCAGAAGGTTATAATTTGGCTAGGGAAAAAAATGTGTCCCTATATGGTCAGCAGTATAGGAGGTGTATATCTGAGAAAGAATATCTTTTCTTGAAAGTGCCCAGAATGTGGTCCATGATCCCACTCACATTGTTAGGGGGAAAGGATGTCCTGAGCTAATTCCATACAGGTTTTGTGGACTCCACCCCCACTCCAGACCAAAGCCATCAGGACATTGGGAAAGACAAATCCCGTCACCACCAAAGGGAAGGTTGCTGGAATCTGAGGGTGGAGTTAAGCAGCCAGGTTGGGTATAAAACCAGACACGTGGGCCTTGGGTGGGTCCCCTTTTGGCTCTCCGCCCAGCTCGCTGCTCTCGGCCAGCTCTCACAGTGCCATTGGGCTTCCAGGTCGGCGGATTGGGTAGGACGCATTTAAGATTTTATTTCCCTATTTTCTCTCTGAGTTGTACATTTCCTCATTTCCCCTTCCCTTGTAAATAAATCTTTTATTAACCTTTTGTGTGTGTCTGCAGTGGAGTATTCCTAAGTCCCTAATAAGCGTGAGGGTGAGGACCCACAGCCAGGAAACCCGCTTTATATCGGGGCTGCCCTGTAACAATATAGTCATACAATCAGACATTCTCAAACTTGAGTGTTCATCAGAAACACGTGGAAGACTGGCTAAACACATATTGCTGGACCCATCTACAGATTTCTGATTTAGTAGATCCAGCTTGGAACTCAAGAATCTGCCTCTTTCACAAGTTCCCAGGTTGACCGAGGGTTTATACTTTGAGAGCCTCTACTCTAGCAACTTCAGGCTAGTAAGCCTACTGCTGAAATAAAAGACAGTTTCCTGTCATCCCTATGAGGACAGATTATGCGCTGCTCCCTGTCCACCTCTACCCTCCACTTATAACATGTCCAGACCTCCTAAGATGTGCTCCTTACCACAGCATCTATTAATATTTATCGCTATACTTTAACTTTTAAGCTATCTGAGTCTTAGTATTTAAAGCAGATGATGTGTAGGCAACCGTTAAAGTATAAAATTCACAATTTTAGACATCTGAATTTATTTAATGATTCATGAATTGGGCAACAACCCACCTAGATACTACAAGGGAAGATACAAAATATAGGCTATTTATAGACAGAAACAGGTTATTAGCAAAGAAAAGATTATTTCAGGTAAAACCACCTTCCTTCAAGGCCAGTGGATCTAAGCATGCAAATTAGGAAACTGCTGATTGATGGGTTTAGGATTACGCTTATGGGGAGGTTGAAACTGTATTAGGTAATAAATTTGCATTGGAGATCCAGTATGAAGGACTCCATTTTGGATCCGTATTTCTACTTTTTTTCTTTCTTTTTTTTTGTCATAATTTCTTCTTGAAACTAAAATCCATGAAATTGTAGGGACCCCCTAAGGCTGAAGTCCCCAAGAGCTTTTCATCAGTGTTCTTATCAGTTTGTGATCAAGACTCTCTTTTCAGATAAAGAGCTCTCAAACATGTCTCTCTGAGGGGCCTTCCTGGTGGCACAAGGGGTTGAAATACAACCTATGTAGCTATCTACAGCCACTGCAGCACACGTTCTATCCCCAGCCAGCAAGGGAACAACCCACATGGCGCAGTAGACCTCTCCTGACTCGCCCACTGCTCCCCTGAGCAGTGTATTTCAGTCGGTCTGCCTGTTCTGTTCCCCACTCTGTCTCCGGTGAATCCTCTCACCCCCTGCACCTCTGGCCTCTACCCCAGTTCTTGTATGCATGGATAAATAAATCTTTAAAAAAAATGTATTTCTGAACATGCCCATCTCTCCAAGTTGCATCCTTATTGCTATAATAAATCCAATTTGTCTATTTTTTTTCATATTGTGAAGGTAAGATAGCTTCCAAGTTCTTCCAGATGGAAGTCTTTGCAGTGTTAAACTAGACACAACAGTGTCACAAACAAAAATTATTGATGGAAAGAAAAATAAACTCATATGGTGTTTAAAACCAAATACTATCTATGCTACTGAAACATCTTCATCAGAACTTTTGTTGGAAAACAGGAGCAACAGATGAAAATTTAGGGGTCTGGGTTTAGTGTTCCTACCCAAGGCCTTCAAAGCTTCTTACAGAGGGACTTAATTTCACCCCCAGCTCAATCCATCCTACAGATACTTTTTATCTGTGATTAAAAGGTAAATGAATTAATCAGGCTTTTTATACCACTTGCCTCCGTGTTTATCACCCGTGGCTTTGATCACGTTAATACAGAAGGCACTTGGTAATGTGGGCACAGGGCACTTGTGACTGATTGTGGACACCTGGAGTATGGATGTGCACACATGTGTAAGTGTGCACACCTGAGCCTAGAGGCCAGGGATGTAAGGGTGGAGTCACTCAGAGACTACAAGAGGACCAGAGTCATGACCAAAGAAGAGGTAGGATGATGAAAGAATGCCAGAGAGAACCTAGAGAAAGAGCATAAAGATTTGTGGGGCACTGGGAGGCTTGGTTGCCTGCGTGTCTCCCAGTCCCCCCTTCCTGGCCCATGCCTGCCTCCCTGCGTGCCAACCTCCCTGCCTGATGTGCCTCTGTACTGATTCCCTGAAAGAACATTAAAGCCTGAAAAATCCACTGAGGGCGCGGACTCTCCGTTATCTGTCTGCCCAAATCAATAGTGAATCTGCCCTGTGCTTGTTGGCACAACAATGATGGTTATGTTTGAAGATACCTGACTCTGTGTATGATGTGGTCATCACACTGGAATAATAAGCCATGACTGTGTTACCTTTTATGTCTAAAGATGAAATATTTACAATAATGAATAGTCTTAAACTAAGAAGTTTCAGTGTTAGGCAAACATTGAATCTAAAAAGTAAATGTGATGAAGGGGAAAATAAATCTTTGCAGCTCCCTGCTGGAGGATCTTAGGCCTGGTACAGTTAATAATACAATGCAATTATAATCAACAAGTTTTGCTCACTTAACAAATCTTTCCTTAGCAGACTAACAAAGATACAAGGTCAGGCAGCCGGCCAAGTTAGTCTATCTTTTCAAGGCCATCGGGAGATGTCTGTGCTCCTGCCTTTTCCCATCCCCTTGTTTAGGAACTTTGTAGCAAATTATGTTATCAATGTAAGGATAGTTAGATATAAAAGAAATATTTTGTCTGTAAACAGGTGCTCAGACCTTACGGGGCTACCCAGGTCTGGGCATGAGTAGTAAAGCTTTTCCTGACCTCACCAATCCTGAAGTACTGCTTATTCTTCCTCTGGGTAAAAAGTAGAATTTATTTCTACAACAGTTTTAGTTTTGTACTGGCTCAATACTAATTCAGGATATGCTCATCTTGTGTGTGGGTACATTTTTCAAATGTGTTAATGACCCTTTTGTCCACTTTCCAATTGATATTTTAAAAGGGTTTTTTTCAAATGTTAAATAAGACAACAAACTAGAGAAATATAAATTAAATAAAGAGGCAGGTTTAACTCTACTCATGTTATAGTCACAGCACTAGGAAGTTCAAGAGTAGAAAACATGTTGGAGCAAAGTGCAGACAACAGATCACCTGTATTTGAATTTCAACAACACAGCTGATCCCGTGTCATCTTAGGAAAATCACTTGTCTGCTCATTGCTAAGTCTTAGCATTCCCACCTAAAAATGGAAGCAATAATAGAGTCAGTTAATGCTGTGATGAAGATTAAATGAAGGTGTCCAAGAAAAAATACAGTATCCAACAAACACTGAAAACTAAGTTTTAATTATTGCTATGTCCAGTGTCATTTTTCAAGTCTCAAACTCTCCAAATGGTTGGTACTACACATGCAACCAGGTTTCAAACATAAGGTCTCCAATTGTCTTGGACTCTGCCACTTTTGGCTTCTTGTACTCCACTGCTTCTTCAATCCTTTAAGTGTCTATAAGACTTCTGATCTTTTTTTGATGCCCTATTTCCTTTTGATCCTCCTATTTAGAATTTTAACTCTGTCTTGACCTTCACAGCAGAATTTCAGCTTCACTAAGTTTTACTGTCGGCAAATCCCTAAATATAACTTACATTGCCCTTCACCTCTTTCCACATGGAGAAACCCATCCCACCTGGCCCTGCTCCGACCTCTCCCCACCCCCCAGCCACTTGACAAATCTCGGTCGGTAACATCATACTTGGTAAACGCTTTTAAAAGGCAGTATGAAAATATATATGAAGAGCTTAAATGTTCATCCCCTCTGGCTCAGTAATCTCACTTTTGAAATTGTTCCTAAGAAAATAATACAATGTACAGGGATAAAACCTGGCATACAACATTTTCAGTACAGCCTTATTTATGATAGTGATAAATTAGAAGCTAAATGTGCTACAATAAAGGAGTGTTTAATGAACTTGTGGCACATCTACTCTGTGGAATATTATGCAGTTATTATAAAGAATAATTGAAAAGACATGGCAACTCAGAATAATACTTATGAGTCAAGTGAAAGACCCAAGATAAAACTATATATTCTGTATGATTGCAATTATGTAAATATGTAGATGCACATAGAAAGAAATAAAGGAATATTCAGAAAGGATAGTAACTCCACTAATGGTACTAGGGGTGGATTTCTATTTTTTAACTTTCTATAATATTATTGCATTGCTTTTACAATAAAAAGAAACCCCTCATAAATGTAAATAAATAGTTACAAGGCCAAACTCAGCTTCCAGAATATCTTGTACTTTAATTCAAATGATTTATATTCTAGGTTTAATTCCTCTAACTCCAGAGGCAAATATTTCTCTTTCCAGCTGAAATAAATGAAGTAATTCCCATTTACTGAAGAAAATTTGACCTTTATGTTAAAGTAATGTTATATAAAGATAATGCTTTCGCTCCTCTGTAAGCATGTGCTTTTGAATTGTTTTCATCCACTTGGGGATAGATTTGAGCTGAATTATCCTCTTTCTTTTCATTGTACTCTTCATTCAGCTGATGATAAAACTCTTGTAAGACTGGAGATTTGGGGGGCACTCAGGAACTAGGCCACGTAAAGTAAATTGACCTGTCCGCTAAGAGACTTTGGTCAAACATTTAATCCAAATAAGTTGAATGGCGATATAATAATAAAATGCCTATAGATGCTTCTGTGCCAGCTGGGTGAAGCAAATTCATTGACAGTAGAAAGAAGAATTATCTAAAATACCATCAGATATCAAATAACATTGTGTGTATGTGTGTGTTTTAATATAGAGCACCTAGAAAAATAATTGTCCATGCTAATGTATAACAACTTAATGTTTTTTAGACATTTCTCCCATTATCAGAAATAGAACATTTCTATGAAAACTTTCTTAAGCCAAAATGGCATAAAGCAAAGAAGCAATTATCATTATTTACGTGAAAAAAAGTTGAAGTTTCTTAGACTTAAAAAAAATAACCTATCGGGCCTCCCCGGTGGTGCAGCGGTTGAGCGCTGGGTTGCTATGCTGCCCGCGGCCTCTGCGGCGCCAGTTCGATCCCCGGCTGCTCCCCGGCCACCAGAGGAGGGTCCCACATGGCGCGCAGACCTCTCCTGCCGCCCGCTGCTCCCCTCAGCAGTGTACTTTGGTCCTTCTGCCTGCTCTGCTCCCCGCTCTGGCTCTGGTGAATTCTCTCACCCTCCTGCGCTTCTGACTGTACCCAGTGCATGTATAAACAAAACAAACAAACAAACAAACAAACAAACAAATAAATAAATAAAACATGCCTCTATAAAAAAAAAAAAAAAATAACCTATCAAATCATACCAAATGACACATAAACCTAAAATAACACTTAGCTATCCTAAAAGCTGGAATAAGGTACACACTTCTATAACGTAGTAGCAAAGGGAAGAGTTTTGTGGCATTACTCCTGCTTCTCCAAATGCGCACTAACTACTTCCAGCACAGCCGCTGCAAAACAAATGCTGAGGCTATTTTTGCTTTCTGGCTTTTGTCATAAAACGGAAAATCACCTTCAGATTCCTTTCATTCGCTGTCACAGTTACTGTTCTGATGTAGGTCTTTCAAGAAAGCATCAGGAGAACTTTAAAAGGCCAGAGATACTAAAACGTACAATCATAGTGTGTGAATATAAAAAGGGGAGAATATATAATAGCAATCTCCTAAATTAGTTCTCCTCCCCTGGGACCATCCTATCCTTTTCCCAGCTTTTTCAAATCTGCTGAATGTTATCTGGACACAGTCTCTCCTTCCTGACTTCCTGTAGGATTCTACAGGGCCTGCCATCAGCACTGTGCTAAGATTGCTCTGATTAAGGTGAAAACAAGCTCTTAGCTGCCATACATTTGTAGTGTCTCTTCTTCCAGTCTATCATCCATATTTTAGCTTCACAATAATCCTGCCATTCTTCAAATAATTCAGAGACCCTTCATTAGAGAATTTCAATTAATAAACATGGATGGAATGATGGAGACAGAAAATCACCACTTAAACACTATAGTAATAATTACTTCAGGTAAGATCTCTGGGTAAGTGCCAAAATTAGTGAGCAAAAAATTAAGGAATAAAAGAGCATTTGTGTAATGTCAAAGAAAGCCCTCCCAAATATTTAATAATCACAGAGGAAAAGATCATTTCACCATGAATAAACCTGCAATACATTACTTTACCCAAGTGAATGAGGTTAACATCACCAGTAAAAATCATATCGGTATCAAGTGCCATCTGAAATGATGCACTGAGAAGGCCAAATCACGTCTGTAGTATTTTTGCAAAATAACTGTATCCTCAATCTAATTATGAACAAACTTCAGACAAACTCAAATTGAGGGAAATTCTGCAAAATACCTGACCAGTACTTTTCAAACATATACAGATCTGGAAAGCAAAAAAAGTCTGAAAAACTGGTAGGTTAAATAATGCAAAGGAGACATACCAACTAAATTTAATGTGGTATCTTAGATTGAGTCTTGGAACAAAAAAAAATAATGGAAAACTGGCAAAAATCTAAATGGTCTATCATATACATATTTATGTATAGTATTATGACTTTTAAATTTAAGATGTTGACATTAGAGGAAGCTGGACAAACAGAATATATGACGTGGTACAGTTTTGCAACTCTTATATGAGTCTAAAAAATATTTTAATTAAAAATAAATGTTTTCTCAGTACCTAGAAAATAAAATCCTTTTTTGCATGACATAGAGTATCTCTCACGATCTCACCTACTTTTATACCTCTATCTCCCACTACTGCTGATAACATATCCAATGTTTCAGCTATGCTAAAATCTTACCTTTTACCATTCTTTATAAACATATACCCACACAAATTCTTGTATACACTAACACACTCAAAATGCATGAGACTGACAGTTTCCTGATTTTTTTATTAATGGACATAGGACTAAAATCCCATTTCCCTGATTCCTAAACTGCCAGTTTACTGAATCAATAGAATTCCAATCCACTCATTGGGATGCCCAAATTATGACATATGACATGTCATAACTTAGTCAAGGTAGTCAATTTAATTGTACCATCAGCTTAATTGAAACTTTTGATGGAGAGTAATACCCTATAATGGTGTATGTCACACATGAAATTGAAGACTATGAACTTGTTCATCTCAATTCTTAGAAAGCCAAAAATGGGCACACTTAATACACATTTGCAAAGTGCATAGTTCTGCTTTTATCAGTTCCATTACAATCCTACCTAAATTTTAAAGTGAAAATGAAAGTCACAGTGAAAAAATTACTGTGCATATGAAACAGCCTGGTCTAACTTTCTAATATATTCACAAACAGGGATTTGATTCCTTTATTAGTAGTTAGGAAAGGTTGCATTAATATTCAGTAGTTAAAATATGCCATTCTAAATTTTTCATAATTTCCCATAGGAAAATAATTTTTTTAAGGATTTCTGATAGGTGCATGACTTTAATAACATGGTGTCTGTGAGGATGGCAAATAAAGCGACTCCTAGATCTAGGCTTTGGCAAACAGTTGAAGGGGCTTTCTTTTACAGACATTAGCCTTGTCCATTAGAGGAAGATAGAGTTGGTTCAGTCCTGTATATAAATATGTTGACAATTCCTTGAGTCCTGTTGAGTTTTGGGACCACCAAACCCTTCCCTGAAACTTTAAAAGTTAATATCTTTGTAGAGAGAGCAGGAAGTACAAACAGATAGGCCTGGAGGAAACCGAGGGACCTGAAATAAGTACAGTGAAAAGCACTGTATGAAATTCTCTATTTCTTTTTTTTTAAAGATTTATCTATTTATGCATACAATAACTGTGGTTCAAGCCAGAGGTTTGGGGCTTGAGAGGATCCACCAGAGAGAGTGCGGAGCAGAACAGGCGGATCCATCGAAACACACTGCTGAGGGGAGCAAAGCGTGAGAGAGGAGAGGTCTGCTGTGCCATGTGGGCTGCTCCTTGGCCAGGGATCCAACTCATGCTGAAGGCTGGTGACAGCTTGATAGCACTGTCTTTAACCCCTGCCCCACCAGGGAGGTCCTAAAATTCTCTATTTCTCAATTTCTCTCTTTCCTTTCTCTCCTGGTTGTGAAGGGAGAGGACAACCAACTATTACTTATTTATTTATTTTTAAAAGAACAGAACTTGAAGTAGCACAAGAGGAAACTTCACACTGGAGTGAGAAAAAGAGCTACTGGGAGCTTCCCTGGT